TGCTGACTTCTCTCTTTGGGGACCCCTGATTTTTCTCCCGGCATCGGGAGGATTTGGGGTTGATGTCCTCTGCAGACCCGGGAGCGCTTTGCCTGGTCCTCAGCGAGTGCAGTACCGGGGGTTAAAGCATCCTGGTCGGCAGGAGAGGAGGTTGAAGCGGGCAGTTTAGGAGAGGAGCCTGATTTCTAAGACGCCCCTCTGAAACGCCATGGCCCAGGAGCTCTGGGAAGCAGACCGCTTGCTTGGGCGGCTGAGGATGGATTTATCAGGTATCTGCATGGAGAAAGAGAGATCTAGAAGAGCAGAGGGGTCGTAAGACAGGGATGGGTGAGCTGAGCCGAGGATAACGGCAGCAAAGGGACATTATGGTCCTAGGACACGTCAGGAAGGATGTTTCCGTCAGGAATAAGGAAGGATTTGTGGCTGGAGCACCAGGTGCTGGTGTGACCTTGCTGGGACGCTGCGGTCACTTCTGTCCAGGGCTAATAAATTCAGGCCAGAGCTGAGGAGGGTATTTTATGAGCTGAGCCTACAGAGCTTGGCTTGCAAAGTTTAGCAAAATAAGGCTGAAAGAGAGTACAGCTCCTGCCTACAAACACATGGGAGGGGAGGTGTAAACCGAGGAGAGAGGAAAGCTGTTCAACTGGAGAACGGCACTAGCACAAGGACAAGGGGGAGCAACTATCCAGCGATAACTGGGCTTGGAGGTCAGGAGAGCCCAGCCCTCGGAGGGAAGAGGTTTTGGAACAAAGGGGCAAACCACCATTTCAACACGTACTCGGTGATGTTCATGCATGGGGGAGCAGCCTGTGGCATCCTACATGCTCTGGAAGTGCCTTATAAGAGGAAATAGGCTGATAAAACATAATTACCCCTGATTGGGGAGCAGCACTATTCGCAGCACGGGGTGAGGGGGCCCAGCTGTGGGTTGACCCTAATAATTTCCCCCTGATGGGACTAGAGAAATGCATCTCTCCGCCCGCTGGTCCCGTTGTCTCTGGGGTACCATCGTGGATACGGTGACAGAGAAGCTTCCATAAGGCTTATTTTCTTATCCCGCTATTCTTTTTTTAAAAGTTAAATTACGATGGTTACGCTGCTGTGATTAGTTAAGGGCTTTTTCCTACCTGGAAATATCCCAAAGCCTTTGGCATTGTTTGGAATTTCAATTATTCAACTCAAACCTAGCGATAACGACAAAAAAAGAAAGGTGGGGGAAAAGCCGGGGCAGGCTGCCGCCTTAATGAGCCGAAACCCAGGACCCGGCTGTACGGGCGCCAAGGGAAGTCACCTAAAATGAATGTCACACCTAGTTATAAATAGGGTGGCATGCGTCGCTGTGCCCATTAACATAGTGACACGTCCCACGGCGATGGCTTAACCCTTTCCCTTGCCCTCCCGTGGGGAGGGCAGCCTCTGCCCGGCTGCGGCAGCATCGTTTTCTAGCCCCATCGGTGGCTGGAAATCACCAGCATACAGAAAATAAACCACAGCCGCTATTCAGCATCAGGCTGTGCTTTCACCTAGGACGTCTAGCAGCAGAGCCTGTTTAACCCAAGCAAAGATATTCAAATTACATGGTAACGAGCCCCTGCTTATTCTAATGAGATAGTTCCCAAATCTGCATTGCCATATCCTAAATTTCAGTGATCCTGTGGTTCAGAGGACAGCACCGCACCTAGAGAAACAGCACCGAGTTCCCACAATCTATGTTTGTTACATAGTTAAGCAAAGGAGCCAGCATCCCCTCTGTTTTAGCCCCGTTCAGGCTGTACGTCCTCCTAGTAAGTAGCAGAATTATCTATATGTATGCACGTATAGGGGTGAGGTAGGTGCTCATAAGCAATCTGCGAAACAGAGATGATTCAAAATTGCTGGGGAATAATTTTTGCTCCCCGGGTTTTTTGTCTCCTCTGTCATGTAATGCTTGGGTTTAGCATCTCAAAACTGAATTAACCATTTATTTATAGGTGAATAAGCTATGGAAAAGGGAGATTTAAAGTATTGCTCTTGGGATGGGGGTTAAAAAATATATCCTGAGAAAAGTGCAAAGAGAGACAAATGCAAAGAGGTAAGAGGCAGGAAATCCTTTATTGAAGGGGTAAAGGCAGAGTCACAAACAGACTGTTTTCAAAGTTAAAAACAAATACAAACAAAAGGCTAAAAACCAGAAAATTATATTCCCCCCCCCCTTAAAATGAAAGTCCAAAGCTTAATTTGGGTTGGATTTGTTATGCTTACACAGCTCGGTTGGCAATCGCACCCTGATTTGGGGGCACCAGGGAGGAGGGAGACACCAGTCTTATACCGAAGTGGTTAAACGATGAGCAGAGACGTCCCCTCTCCGAGCCCGCTGCGGGTTTCGGAGTGGGGATGTGGGAGCAGCATGTTAAAACACAGACAGTCTTTTTTTTTTTAATTTGTCTTTTTTTTTTTCCCCTCTCCTTTCCAGACAGCTACTGTACAAAACCAAACAGAAATTTATAATAAATACCTAACACAAGAGGCTCAGTACATTGCTACAATCCTTCACTGAAGGGAAACATATATATACATATATATATCCTAATATATAACCTCTTTGACTTAAATCAGCGTAAAGACTACGTGTTTCTATGGGAAGGCTAGGGCAGGAATCCCACTTAGCATCGCCCAGACCCCACACCTCAACCGAGCATCGCCGCCTGCGGTCCCCTCGCTCCCAGCGGGGTCCCCATCCTCCTCCTCGCAGGAAAAGCAGCAGGATTTGCCCGCGGCAGGGAGTTTTTGCATCTAGGAAGCTCCAGCTAAGCGACCGCGCAGTGAATATTAAAAAAAAATGGAAGAGACCCCTGGTGTGCACGACTCCTATGTGATAAATACAGACATTTTCCTTGGCGCCGTCTCAGGCCGAAATTTCTGACCCATCCTAAATGCTGGTTACGGCACTGGAGAGGAAACACACGCTGGCCTTTGAGTTAAAACCCTCGCAGACTCAAAGGGGAAAAAGAAAATAACCCTGCAAGGCTACATGACTTTAGCATCCAGCTATTTGTTAGAGCCAGAGAGGGCTTAAATTCCTGGAGATTAATTAGCAGACGCAGAACATTGCCCGAAGGTAGGTCTGAACGACAGCCCAAACAGCTCTGCATCCAAACTCTGCAGCTGGCCTTTATTTTTTTTCTTTCCAAAAAAAAAAAAAAAAAAGGAGCCAAGCCCTCGGTACCCTCAGTCCTTGGCTGTAGCCCCCTTGGTTTCAATAGGAGTCACCTACGGGAGATAAAAGCTGAATATTTTGGGTTTGCTGATAATTGGTAGGGTTTCTGGCAGGGCTTCGGGGGAGCAGCTCACCCCACAGCCCCATCCTGAACCTGTCTGGCCAGTGAGAAAACGAGCGTAGCTCAGACAAAAGAGACAAGAAAAAGGATTCGCTCCACAATTGCAAATGGGGAAGCTCGGACATCGCAAAATCAAGTTGTCCTCCTCCAGCCCTTCTCCCCTTCCTGTGAGAAAAAGGCTGTTCCCACTGGAAATTCAACGTTTTGTTGCCAAAAGGGGAGCCAAGGCAGAGTACGGGCATCCGCAGGGAAGCGGCGAGGGGCATCGAGAGGGGAGCCTGGAGATACCGAATCGCTCGTCCGGCGATGGCAAAACCTTCCCAAATTCCTTCCCCGCTCCCCAGGCACAGGCTGCCAGCACACGATGGCGATCCCTTTAAAAGGGGGAAAGTTCAGGGACTGAGCAGCCGTCTGCGCCGGGGCCAGGCAGCGGCCGGCCTGGGGAGAGGGGGCCTGGCTGTTCCCCGCCGGGAAGGAAGAGCTCCAGCCTTGCCAGGCTCAGTTTTAGACCGAGAATTGCTCAAGCAAGGCTGGAGCCCGGCGCCAGATCCGAGCGTCTTCACGTATCCCAGGAAAGCGGAGGTGAAGAGCACCGGTCACCGCGGCGGGCTGGGGAAGAGACTCGGCATCTACAGATCCCGGGGCTCATCCCTGCTGCAAGCCAGGTTAGCAAATTATCACCTTTTCTTTCCAAGAGCTGAGAAAATGAGCTGAGAAAATGAGCACGTAGGGGACTGAAAGCCAAGGATGGGAGAGGAAAGGCTTGCACACCCAAGTGTCTGCTCCAGAGGGGGAACGGGGTATTGCAATAGGCATTTCACAGTGAAAACACTGCAGAATTAGTAAATAATTAATCCTCATGGCAACCCTGCAAGCCAGATCAGGTGTAATTCGGCCACGGTTTTGTAGCTGGGGAAATTGAGGCACGGGGTTGCAGCTCTAGGAATAACTCTGCGGATGCTGGGGGCGTTTGGAGGCAGAGGTTTGTCGCCTCGTAGATTATAAATCCAGCAGAAACCACCATGACCACCTCGCCTGTCCTCCTGCCTAACGCGTGCCGGGGTCCGGCCCTCAGCTCATCCCCGCTCCCAGCTAAACCAGCGAGTTATCTCCCAAGCTAAACTCACAGCCGATAAAACGCTCCTCGTGCTCAAGGACACCCACGCTGCTGCAGGGAGGGGACGGCAGCCCAATCCAAGCCTTTTGCAAAGGGATCCTGATTTTTATCAGCAAAGCCACCCACCCTGGACCTCCTTGACCTGCAGCTGGGGCGGGGTGATGGAAAAGCCAGGCTCTGCATTTTTTCCAGCAACAAACCCCAGCGAACCTTACAAATGGAGTCTGCAACCATGTTTAACAACAGCTCTTTGGAAACACCCTACAGATACGCCCATTTTTCCCCTTAAATTACAACTTGCCTGCGAGCAGCCAGCCAGAGAGAAAGGAAGAAAGAAAGAAAAAAAGAAGTGATTCCTCCCCGTTTTGCCACCATTATTCCCCCTCTGAGGTAGACGTCGATGGGGTGGGGATGAACCGCTGGAGAGTGGTTATTCGTCCGGCGAGCAA